TTTCCATGCTAATCATATTACATGGCATGGGCTCGGCCCAACTACATCTCCATGTCATCCTAGAGTCCAACTCTAATAATTTTCATGATCAAGTTCTCAAGCAAGTCCTATGCCTAGAATCAATTTCCGGAGGTGGCCTTTAGGCCTACCCCTAATCACTCTTTAGTGTTCATATCATTCATCCTTAAGTATCTCTTGAGACTACTTAAGGCATATCTATTCACAATCCTACCTCTTAGGATTTATTTCATCATTTATTTATATTAATTCCCCAACTAGTATTTTGATACTAATTGGATAACCTTAGAACATGCCAAGTTCCTATTTCCCATATTGCATTTCATTTCCATTGATTTCTCAATCCAAGTATAGTTTAATCTCAATATCAAAAATATCACTTTAATCCATTCATGAATCTCATACATGAAGTAAAGTATATTTTATCACAATGTCATCTTAGTAATTCCATTAACATGCCATTCCATTCATTTCACATAATCATACACAATTATTCTAAATTTGTATATCATGCTTCACTTACTCATATACATATTATTTTCATTTAGACATTATTAATCTTTAATAGTCCATGAAAATCCCATCTAATTACTTTAGGCATTCTTATGAAATTAACTCACTAATTATAAGCAATATAGTCGGCCATCCTCACCTCGTGATGTGCTACAATAGTTGCCTTTGTTACGCCCCTCGATCAATCCCCGTTCTAGGCCGATTGAAAGGCAGAACTGGACTGCCTGGGCAAAAGCCGGGCGGCTTTCACGAAAGCCGGGCGGCTTTCGTGGTCTGCAACTGCGACTAGCTCCTTTGAAGTGGCGGTTTCCGGCGATTTCAACTCCTATCGATTTGCCAACCCTCCTAAGTTAATTACCACCACTTTATATCAATATTCTACACTTTTAAACGTGTAGAACTCATGGTTTAATCCACCATATGATTTCTTAAAAATCATACAATAATAAAACTAGTTAAAGATTGTTTATTGAGTTCTTACCTCAAAAACAACCCTCTTCTCTTTGGATTCTCTTCCTTGCTGCTTGGACTATGAAAGGAGGCTTCCCTAGAGCTTCTCTCTTTGCCTTGGCCGAGTGGATGGGTGAGGAAATGGTAGGATAAGTGATCAACACCATCCACCTAAGTCAACCCACAAAATAAGGGAGTAGGGTAATGGTGGGTAGGGGTTTTGTCTCTTGGAGACTTCCCACCTACTAGGTACACTCCCTCCAGCTGCTTCCTTGTCATTTGCAGCACATTGGGTCGTGGGGTGGCCCCCACTCATGTGGGAGGTCATCCCCTTATGCCCCGATGTGTATAATCGGCCCCGAAAGTTGTATTTTTCGGACTGTTTTAGTCATATTATATTTTATCGGACCGGATAAAATATATCCCGCGTTCCCAATAATTATGGGCATTTAGAATGGATGTATATTCCCCAACATTAATTTAGGAGTCTCCGAAACTCATTTCGGGCTGTTATCCGTTAAATTGCCAATACCGGTAATTGGGCCCCGTTTGACCAACCGGTCAACGCCATGCCTTTCTTATGGCCCAAATAAGATACCTACCACTATATACATATTATCTAGACCAAGGTGAATATAATATGTGGTTCGGGAATTATCGGGCGGTCCACATTCCCGCTGTGGGCCCCACATGCAATTTACTATTCACGTAAAAGAAATAATAAAAATTTACAATTACGCAAATTCATCAATCATCCTTCAAGGTTTATTACATAATTTACTAAAAGTAAATATGCTCGGGGTCGGTGTTACAGTTTCTTTGTGTTTCTGTATGTTTATTTTTGTTGCAAATTTCAAATATCTGTTTTTTATTGTTTCTTCAAGTTTTATTGTTGATATTCATAAATTGAAATTTATCATTTTAGGTGATTACATATCTATAAATGATTTTTTGATTCCAATGAAGTAGCAAAGATATATGGGCAGGAACCTAAATAAACAATTAAAATCAAAGTCAACTACAAACAACAATAAGCAACAAAATTCAACAAAAAGAAACACATATAGAGGTCGTTTGGCAACCCTCATTTTCGGCTTATCAGGCTTATCAGCCAACTTTTTTACCAAACACGTAAATTTTGCTTCCGAGCGCTGAATTGTGTAGTAAGCCAAAAAAGTAAGGTTGGAGTTACTTTTCTGACTGTATTGGCTGAAGTTACTGTAGATGACCATTTTAACTATTTTACATATAGTTTTTTCTTTATTTTATTAATAAAATATATTTTAAAAATATTTTTTTCTTGTATCAGCAGAATCAGCCAATGTAGCCAGTTCTGCCAGAACTTCATAAATTTCACCAGAATCAGCCAGAATAGCCGATTTTCATGCTCCCAAACGGGCTCATAATGCAACAAAAAGCAACAAAAGATAGCATATGAAACTATCACAATAAATACATAATTTTTGATTTTTTTATTCTTAAGAAGTAGCAAAGATATATAAGCAGGAACCTAAATAAACAACTAAAATCAAATTCAACTGTAAACAACAATAAGCAACAAAGTGCAACAACAAGTTCTTAAAATTTATATTAATTTTTAATTTCTTTTTGTTGATGAATTTTCATATTTTGTTTCTTAATATTTATATTTTGTTTCTTATTGTTTAGTTTTGTTTCTTGTGATTTTATTATATGCAATTTTGTCACTACACACACATGTATAGGGTGTCTTTGTACCAAAATAGGTGAAAACCCCAGAAACATGAATACAAAATTAAGGAAAAAACCGGGCATTGATCAATATCGACATAAAGTAACAAGATCCAACAAAAAGAAACAAGATGCAACAAAAACCAACATAATAAAACAAAGAGAAACAAAAAGAAAAAACAACATACAATATGCACCTTTTTTTCCATATTGTTGATTAGAATTACAAATATCATTACAAAATAAATGAGACAGTACAATCAAATTCATTTTCTAATATACATTTACAAGTAACCTAAAGAAAGTCCTTGCGATGCAGCATTCCATATTCCACTTTACATGAAGAACATACACGTCGATAAAAAATGAAGTATTTAAATAGATTCGCAATTATCAATACTTCTAGACATGATATTCTTATACAAGCTTTTGATTGAGAAAGCAGTAGTCATTATAGTTCAAGAGCTCCTGTCATTACAGTTCAAGTGCTGCAGTCAGCGACCACATAACTTTGTCAAAATCACATTATATATAGCGTCTGTTTAAAATTTTAGCACTCCCATTGAAATGAAGGAATGAGGGATGTATCCAAACCCAATCACCTTGCAGACACTTTTATAGCTTAAAAGCATACGTAGTACTTCGTATAAGCAGAGTTGCAGAATGCATGAACCATAAATGTCTCCAGCAGCTTTTATTTCAGCACATCCTATCTAAATCCATCCAATCAAGGTCAATTACATCGGTTTCCAGACCAGGAAGTCTCAAGCTTGCTACTTTCCAGATGCAACTTTTATAAGAGAATCGCAATTATCTCTAAACTCAACAAATGGATAAATAAAAGAGTTTTAACATTTATTCGCCATCTAAACATGGTATAAAGGACCTGATATCCTATTGGTAGACAAGAAATTATATAAATTAAAGCCTTTCATGCAGAGCATGCATACAGAATTGGAAAACTATGGCCATCCTTTCATATTCGATAGTTAGTTTGAGAGTGAAATATCATTACTTTGATGTCAAGGTCTAGAGGTAAATTGAAACAACATATGTCAAGTCATTATGTTACATCACTTAGCCTATAGCTTCCTAACCCGTAAGATCTACAAACAATCTAAAATAATAAAGGAAGCTAAGTTGTGAAATTTCAGTCAAAAAATGCCATCATCGTTATATTGCAGTTCAGAAGCTTAATTGACTAGCTTTTTCACATGTAACATCTCCATCTCTTTTCTAAAATTCTTCACATCTCCGGATCTCATAATGAATTGGGAAAACTATTACATTGTGGATCCAGTCATTTCCAAAAGTACTGAGACTAGCAAAGAGGCACATGTAATAGGGAGCATTTGGACAATTTCCACTTCAAAGTTGAGATATTTACAGAATAAAGTGATCAATCATATATTGTTAGCTTTCTGAATTTTACTTTTCAATTCAATTTTTTCAAGAGTACACATCTTGTAGAAGTTAATTAGTGACTCAAATATTCAGCTATGGTAATTGATACTTCATAGAGATACTAATGGTACCATTACATAAAAACCCAACACAACAATTGGATTTAGCATTAATAGGTAGAGTTACAGGGATAAATCTAATTGACACGTCAAGTTCTAGCATCTGATAGCTTCAATTAAACGTATGTTGAATATATGTAGTGGTGTGAGAAAAATGAGTTGAAATTTTAAAAAAAGGAGATAAATGCAAGGATTGACATACTCACCGAGGCGCACAATCACTTGGCGACCCTGTACACTTGCAATGAATTCCTCTTAGCGCGGCTCTCCGCTAGATCTAACATCAACCTCACCGGAAAATCAACCTTGCATGCCCGGGATCTTGAAGGCGGTGCGGAGTTGGCGATTGAAACTGCTCAAGTTTGAGCTGTTTGAAATAAGATTGAGGAAGTGATTGAAATCGCTTCCTGCCTTGAGCTTCTCGTTGCCGATGATGGCTTTGAGTTGGGCCTGGAATTTGGTCGAGTGGCTTGGACAACGTGATCTTCATGTCTCCATCGTTGTAGAATAATTCATCGGGGTCACCGTAGAACTTCATTGTCGATTTCCAAAGGGATGTACTGCGTATGTTTTAATTTAGGATGTGATTATTTTTGAAATAAAATAGTTAAATTGAAAAGATGAAAGTCTAGGAATGAAAGAAAAATACTTACGAGACATAAATGAAATGTGACACCTAAAACGAGACTGTACAGGTAATTTCCACTAATTTATTCACCCGGGCATAAAACCCGTGAAAAATCCAGAATAATTTTGTTGAGTTGACTTTGAAGACTAATGACTAATCTACGTTGGGCCCAACAAAAGCTTTGGTTAGTGGAAATTTTCTCTGGCTAAAACCAGACACAGTAGATCTGGTTGTGCCCCGCTACCATCGTAACCGTAAGGACCACCGTACGGAGATGGCTTTTTCCTCCCGCCGCGGAGGGTGGTGGTCTCACTATCTCCTCCCCACCTCCAAGCCTTCAATGAAGCAGGCACGTAAGTCCCGCAAACGGACAGCCATTAAAGACTTCCTGCTCGCCAACTTCTTCTCCATTGGCATCTCTTTGTGCTTTCTCTTTTTCCTACTCATCATCTACAGCTATGGCGTTCCTAAACCACTACTCTCCTCTCACTTCCGTTCCACCCGGACCCGTTTTTCTCGAACCCGTAAGCCCGTTTACAGGAAATCCCCAGCTGGCGATGCCGTTTCGGGGGCTGTGGTGGATATAACCACCAAGGGTCTATATGACAAGATTCAGTTCCTTGATGAGGATGGTGGTGCTTGGAAGCAAGGTTGGAAGGTAACTTACAAGGGAAATGAATGGGATTCCGAGAAATTAAAGATTTTTGTTGTTCCTCATTCGCATAATGATCCAGGTTGGATTTACACAGTTGAGGAGTATTATAATCGACAGTCCAGGCACATTCTTGACACCATTGTTGAAACACTTTCGAAGGTGAATTTTCTTTTGTTGCGTCCTCACAATACAATTGTTTAATCAACGTCAGATGCAAATATGGTGAATATAGGAAACTGACCTAGTGACCTGAATATCAATTTCATTTGGATGTTCTGATTAGTGCTTCATGTTGCAACTACAAGTGTTTACTTACTGACAAAAATTGCTCATGAAATTCTGATTCTCTGATGGTTACTTTTCCAAGTTAATTTTGGGGACATTTTGTTATGTTCCATTTCATAATGTTTAATGTGATTTCTTCCGCTAATCGTTCGGGGTATTGGTGTATAGGATGCTCGCCGCAAGTTTATATGGGAAGAAATGTCTTATTTGGAGAGATGGTGGAGGGATGCATCAGCTGCAAATAAAGAATCCTTCATCAATTTAGTACAGAATGGACAACTAGAAATCGTAGGTGGTGGTTGGGTGATGAATGATGAGGTAAGCCTGTGCTGTTAACGTAATGACACTTTTGCAATGGTGTGCAAGTACTAATTTTTCTCTTCAAGTGCTGCATATTTCTTCCCATTGGGATCTGGGAATGGTGAAAAGAAAGCCATGTTTTCAACGGATTACAGTGGCAATTTGACATTTTTTTAGTAAAATTAACCATAATGAATGAGTTATAGGCTTCCAGCTTCTTGAAAAAATGGGATTATTTGTCTGGTAACAGTTAATTAGCTGGTTTTACGTGTAAAACTGTAATCATATTTGGTACTTGTATTGGCTGCATAACTGGCGTGCCTTCGGAAAGCTAGACTAAAGTAATGATCTTTTGGACAAGTTATGTCAATTTAACTGGGACCCTTGGATCTGTAGAACTTAATTTGCATTTTGCTCTTCATATTTGGTTTTCTCGTCAAGGAATCATTTTCCTTGTAATTGTCTTTCAATCATCTGTGAATTTCTCTTACTTGTGCACCCACAGCTTATTTTGTTCTCTTTTGTTTTTACAGGCTAATTCACACTACTTTGCAATCATAGAACAGGTAAAGTGTATAATTCTCTTGTTTTTACTCACATTCTTCTTATTACTGCTTTTCTTAAAGCTGCTGGCTCAATATATAATTATTTATTTTGTGGTTACGTGTTACCTTTTCAGCATTAGTTAATGTCTAGTTCATAAGTGCATATTTTGATTACACATAATAGGGCTGCTTTATTAATACCAGTATACCACCCAACTTTTCTTGCTTTGAGTTTCTAATTGAAAACTAAAGTAATAAGCTGAACAGATGATGCCAACTGGAGAATTAGATAGAGATTTATATGGGGCCCAAAATGTTCCAGTTCTCATTTACTGAGTTGAAAATTGTGACGTTGTTGCATAATGTATGTCATCTCATTCTAGTTTCCGTAATATGCTTGAAGTAAATCGTCCTTTTTAACCTTTTATTCATATTTAATAATTTGTAAACCCAGCAAAATAGCTGGGATTTCTTAATAACTATATATGTACTTAAGCATGCATATCATATGCTGTCCCTATAAGCTGTGCTAAGGATCTTGTTTTCTGAATCTATTACCAGATAACAGAGGGTAATTTGTGGCTTAATGAAACTTGCGGTGTTGTTCCAAAAAATTCGTGGGTGATAGATCCTTTCGGATACTCTCCAACAATGGCATACCTTTTTCGTCGTATGGGTTTCGAAAATATGCTCATACAGAGGACACATTATGAGTTGAAGAAGGAACTGGCTTTGTACAGAAATTTAGAATTTGTATGGCGGCAGAGCTGGGATGCTGAAGAAACAACTGACATGTTTGTCCATATGATGCCTTTTTATTCATATGATATTCCACATACTTGTGGGCCTGAGCCTGCAATATGCTGTCAATTTGACTTTGCTAGAACCTATGGCTTTACGTATGAGCGCTGCCCTTGGGGAGAATATCCACAGGAGACCACACCAGAAAATGTGAAAGAAAGAGCACTTAAGCTGCTGGATCAATATAGAAAGAAATCAACACTATATCGCACAAATACTCTTCTTATTCCCCTCGGAGATGATTTCCGCTATGTCACCGTTGATGAGGCTGAAGCTCAGTTCAGGAATTATCAGCTTCTGCTTGATTATATCAATTCTGATGCGGACTTGAATGCAGAAGCAAAATTTGGTACCTTGGAAGATTATTTCCGGACTCTTCGTGAAGAGGCTGATAGGGTAAATTACTCCCGTCCAAATGAGATTGGGTCTATTGAGATTGGTGGGTTTCCTTCTCTTTCAGGCGATTTCTTCACATATGCTGACAGACAGCAAGATTACTGGAGTGGTTATTATGTTTCTCGGCCTTTCTTCAAGGCTGTTGATCGTGTGTTGGAGCAAACCCTCCGCGGTGCTGAAATGATGATGGCTTTCCTATTAGGTCATTGTCAGAAACCACAATGTGAACGGTTACCTACCGGATTTTCCTATAAGTTAGCAGCGGCTAGGAGGAACCTAGCGCTGTTTCAACATCATGATGGGGTTACTGGTACAGCTAAGGACCACGTAGTTAATGATTATGGGGTGAGAATGCACATAGCTTTGCAAGATCTTCAAATTTTCATGTCAAAGGCCGTAGAGGTGTTGCTTGGGATTCGCCATGAAAAGAATGAACAGAACCCATCTCAGTTTGAGCCTGCACAAGTGAGATCTAAATACGATGCTCAGCCAGTGCACAAAGCCATGGCTGCTCATGAAGGTACAGTCCAGACTGTGGTGATATTTAATCCACTAGAGCAGACAAGACATGAGGCTGTGATGGTAATTGTTGACAGACCGGAGGTGACAATCTTGGACTCAAATTGGACATGTGTGAAAAGCCAGATTTCTCCAGAGATGCAACAACACTACAGCAGCAAGGAGGATGAAACATTATTCTCTGGTAGACATCGTGTATACTGGAAAGCTTCGGTCCCTCCATTAGGGTTGCAAACTTATTATGTCGCTAATGGGTTTGCCGGTTGTGAAAAGGCCATACCAGCCGAGGTCAAATGGTTCGTGCCTTCTTCCAATATTTCTTGCCCCAAACCATATACTTGCTCAAGAATGGAGGGTGAAGAAGCAATAATCAGTAATCGCCATCAGACGCTTACATTTAGCATGAAGGAAGGATTGTTACAGAGAGTTAGTCATACCAATGGCCGCCATAATGTTGTTATTGGGGAGGAAATAAGTATGTACTCTAGCACTGAGAGTGGAGCTTACCTATTCAAACCAAACGGCGATGCTCAGCCCATTTTTGTAGCCGGTGGGTCGATGGTTATCTCGGCGGGCCACTTGGTGCAGGAAGCTTACTCATTCCCAAAGACACAATGGGACAAAGCTCCAATTTCCCATAGCACCCGCATATATGATTATGGTGGTGGTGACAGTTCCTCGATACAAGGAAATGTCATTGAGAAGGAGTACCATGTGGAGCTTCTTGGCAGTGATTTTAACAACAAAGAACTTATAGCTAGGTACAGAACTGATATTGACAACCAAAGGGTTTTCTATTCTGATTTAAATGGGTTCCAAATGAGCCGTAGAGAGACGTATGATAAGATCCCTGTTCAAGGGAACTATTATCCGATGCCATCTCTTGCTTTTATGCAGGGACCGGATGGTCGACGCTTCTCCGTCCACACCCGGCAGTCCCTAGGTGTGGCAAGCCTTAGAGATGGATGGTTAGAGATAATGCTGGACCGGCGATTGGTGAGGGATGATGGGCGTGGTCTTGGACAGGGGGTGATGGACAATCGGCCAATGAATGTTGTGTTCCACATCCTTGTAGAGTCTTCTTCTAACGCTTCAATAGCTTCTGCAATAACTAATCATCACCCTCTAAGCCCTTCCCTTTTATCTCATCTCATAAATTCCCACCTAAACTACCCCCTCAACACATTTGTAGCCAAGAAAGCACATGAAATCTCTGTACAGCCTCCCCCAAGATCCTTCTCTCCACTGGCATCCAACCTTCCATGTGACTTGCACATCCTAAGTTTCAAGGTTCCTCGCCCTCTAAAATATTCCCAGCAGCCCCCACTTGAGGAAGAGCCTAAGTTTGTTCTCATCTTCCAGCGGTGGCATTGGGACTCCTCGTATTGTCGGAAAGGTGGCAGGTCTGATTGCTCAAGTGTGGCTGATGTGCCAGTTAACCTATTTGACATGTTCAAGGGTCTTTCCGTTTCGAATGCAAAGCCCACATCTTTGAATCTTTTGCATGAAGACACAGAGATGCTTGGTTATAAGGGGCATTTTGCAGATGGTGCCCGTGAAGGTCATGTCCTCATCTCTCCCATGGAAATACAGGCTTACAAGTTACACCTACGACCAAATTAGCCAGAGAGTAATTTTTGCAATTTTCTTTGATCAAAGTGTTTTTCTTCTTAAGGAGGTTTAAGGGTACTCTCCATGATATAGACCAAGGTGGGAAAAGCAATATGTTTCTGAAGATTATACTTTTTTATATTCTATACCTCCTTATATATGAATATATAATATCCAAGATGTCTTGCAGGTTTCATTGCCATAAAGTAATGACTACTTTTCTTGAATAAAATAAAAGATTCAGGGTGCATGGGCAAATTTTCAAATCCATCTAAACTTTTTAGCCTTTCAAGATTGAAAAATATATTGAGGAACAACATTGATATAAAATTTGATATTTTAATCAAAATATTAAAATAGTATATTTTTCACTTCTGGTTTGGACATAACAAATTAAAAATGACTATCTGCTATAAGGAAACATATATGCTCTTCACCAAGAACGAGAACACCTGTGTAAAAGCTTCACTCCTTCCCCTGGGAAGTGGGAAACATAGAGCCTTTTTCACGCCGTAATTAATACAATGTTTTTTTTTTCATTTTGAAGGTGTTTGCTGCTGACTGGAGTCCCGATGGTGAGAAAGTTTCCTCTGGTGGCAAAGACAGACTTTTGAACCTATGTATGGGTTAATATATTATATTTATATGTCACACAATCTCACCTAGAAGATAAAATTTTGGTCCTGTTGGGTTAGGGTTTGAATCTAAAGGTCTTATAGTGTGAGCACAAGCCATAATTTTGTTGTTGCATGTTTTAATTTATTCTTATTTATTTTAGTATGCTACTAATATGAGATTATGAAGCCATGTGCTTTTTAGTTTTCCAAAGTAGGATATGCCACCAACAAGAGTACAGGCATTTAGTGATATTATTAAAAGTCACTTTAGAAGTTTTGTTATTTAAAATCACTTTGTGAAGGGTTTACACATTGCAGCTTTAAATATTCTTGTGGTTTGTACTCTTCAACGTTGTTTTGGTTTGGTTGTGTTTATTAATTTAAATTTTTCATCAAAGTTCTGCCCTTGGAATTAACTATTTCAGTAATAGTTCAAAGTGATTATTCTATTTTGTTGTGTTGTTTAAATTTAAGTCTAAGTGATTTGTCAGCCTATTCATAGCTAAAAGAAGTTTACATATATACAAATCAAGAGTTTAACATTTAAACTTAAAACTGCAAATAAGTAAATTATTTTACTTATAACTATGTATTGTTTAATTTGATTCAAAAGTATATTCATATCTCATCATGAAATGGTTATCACTAGGTTTTGTCATATGCGTATCATTTTAGTTATTTTATGCAGAGGTATATGAAGGAAAACACAGTTAATTTCCCCATGTGATTGAAACTCTGTTTTCTTTGAACGAAAAGCTTCTAATTTTTTCATTAGAGGGGAAAAACTTATCACATTAGACTCTAGGATAGTTGGAGGCTTAATTAGCACGCCAGATGACAGTCCCAACCAACTGGCTCTTTTTTGGGATCAAAAGTACATATATTAAGAGACCAGTAAAAAAATACAGTAACAAGGGTCATACCACATAATCTACAGTATCAAATATTTTGGTTTATATCCACAAAACAATAAGTAGATTGGGAGAAATGTCAAAACACAGGTAATTTATAAACCAGCCTGTTGTTAGCATTACTATAAGCACTTCTACCTTCCCAAACATTAGAAACTATTTAGCACATTGCAATTTTCATAGCTTTCATAAAAATAGATCAAAGTTTGTTGTGATATTTATTAAATTAAAAACATTTCATAAGGTTTTACCCCATGACGCAAAAAAAAACATTTCATAAGGTTTTACTCGTTACACATTAGATAAATTGAATAGATTTAATTGTCATTAAAATTCTAAAAAAATATTTTACGAATAACGATGTCTTTTACAAAACTAAAAACTGTGGGCAGATTTTTTTTTAGTAAACTTATTTAAAATAACGATGTTCAATACTCATAGAGCTACATAAAACAAATCTTGCTCACTTTGATCTCAAAACTCAAGTATAAAATGCATTTAGTTATCAGAGAACACGTGAGAGAACTGATTAGTTGTTTGGTAATTTAACGCTTTGTGATCCATTTGATTAGGCTATTGATGAACGTGGCAAGATCAACGATTATATGTTGTGGTAAAGACATACTTAAACACGGATTCAACATCTTCATATGACTCAGATAGTGCACTCCATCTAGACCCATTTTTTTCAGAATTTCTCAATACCATTAAATGCTCTGGTGTGCCAAGCCATGAGTTGAAGTTATGTACGTCATTCGGGTTTCAATCATGAACAACTTTACATCGCGGTCTCAAGGGTAACGTCCCCGTTTGGATTGAAGTTGATTATATGTGATGATGACGGAAAATCGGTAAAGAAGAATTTAAATGTTGTTTACAAGGAAGTATATAATAATTTGTAAATTTTATCTTCATTTACTTTTGTTAAAAACAATATATGCAGTGTTCTATCTTTACCACAACATTTTCATATATTCATAAATAATTTATTACTTACTAATTACATCCCATGCGAAGCACGGGTGAAAAATCTAGTTAAGTAAAAAATAGAGGCTGAAAACAAGTGAAGCAAGGCAGGAGCTGGGTTTCCTTCCAAACCTGTCGCTGGTTGAAGAATTCTTTGTCTTCTTTTTCCTACATCCCATAGAAGCACTGGTACCTGGTAGGAGTGGACTCGGGCCGGGCCAACCGGACCGGAAAACTGGACCGGCCCGCTACTGTGCGGGCCCGGCCCGGCCCGGTGAACTGGTTGGTTGCCCGGTTCAGGCCACCCGGCCCGGTGGGATGGCGGTTCGGGCTCAGGCCCTTCAAAAGGTGGGATGGCGGTTCGGGCTCGGTTCGGGCTACTAGCTGGTTTTTGCATTTTTTGATGGACTGTTAGACTTTGGGAGAACAACACTACATGACTTGTGCCTGGAATTAAATTACGGACTTTCTTGTTTCCCTTAGATAGATGTAGACATGTAGTTCGGGAAGACCTATTGCATTTTAATGTTATAATAAAGTTATGTGTAAGTGTGTAACACTAATTTACACTAACAATACATACTTGATTACATCTTACAGTCTACCAAACTACACAGTTTTCTCTTCCTTCTTTCACTTTTGATTATTAGTTTATATGGTTGCACTTCCTGAGAGGTGGACCCATCCCAGACCCGCGACTTCCTGGTTTCGGTTTCAACCCGCTCGGTGGCTCGGGAACCATGAGCATGTCCACCCGTACCGTCCCAACTATAGTTAAAGGGTGATTTACAAACCTGTGTATTTTGGCAAAGTTTCTAGCCTCACAACTCAGTCCTCAACAGATTACACCATGAAGAGACATCTTCTAAGATGTTTCCATGTTTATCAACATCAACATCAAAATAGGAGACAAGTGTTCTACCCCTCCATTCCATAAAGCCAAACAAACAGTTAAGTTTGCATAGACATCTTTTTTTTGTATTATACAGTGCCTCCTGTTCAACCAATTTGAAAGAACATGCCGTGCCAGGGAAAATTTCATTCAAATCAAATTATTATCAAGTCATATGATAAGTGTATTTTATTCTCAATCGTATTATGCAAAAGCTGGATCTTTCTAATCTAATCACAATCTAGAAGACGTGCCTATGTTCATTGCTATAAACAAATAAAAAAAACAAAATCATGCACGAGTAGAATAACCAGTACTCCACTAGTGCCCTTGTTGGCCTTCTGCATTTCCATATTCTTCCTCTCCTCTTTTTTAAACCCACTATTCTCTTCATCTTCATCATAATCAGAATCCAATGTAAAATGTGAACTGCTGCTAGCCATATCCAGCTGCTGCACCATCTCTACACTAAGGGTCTGTTTGCAAGAGCTTTAAAAAGCGGTTTTCGACTTTTGGCTTAAAAACCTAAAATTAGCGTTTTAAAGTGACAACTTCTACTTAAAAAAGTGTTTCTCGACTTTTGACTGAAAAATGTTTTTTACTTTTTCTATTACACGAAAAGCACAAATTTTACCAAATGCTACCAACTTTTACTTTTCAAAATCATTTTTTTCTCGAACACTATCAACTTTTACTACTAATCACTTCAAAAAGTGCTTTTTTAAAGCAAAAGCATTTGCAAACACTCCCTAAGTGGTCTATACCTCAAAGTTGATTCCCTGTTAATTCCACTCTTCTTAGACACAATAGGGTATGCTCCAGACATCAAAACCACAAGAAGAGCAAGATGGCAGTTGAACTGAAGAGTGGCAATGGCTCGACCTCGATGGTATTCGGGATGTGCATTGCACTTTATGGTGTAATTCCCTCTACTTTTTCCGTGCAATGAGCATCCATGAGCTATCATGTTGGTGAAAAACGAAAACCCCATTTGCAGGAACCCGATCCCTTACAGGACATGTCCCATTCCGTGCCCCAGTCTAGTGTAACTAATGCGAAGAGGGGAATCAAATTGAGGAATTGGGAAGGAAATTGAAGACGCCTTCTTGTACATTACCGTGATCACTTGCCTTGACACCTGTCGATGGTCACTGGAGGTCACCCCCGCATGAGAGGATTGTAGCATCAAGTTGCGGCGGCGGCGGCACTAGTCATTGTGCAAGTGGTAACTGGTGATTGTGAGCGGTGGTCACTTCGGACGGTAGTTTGTTAGACAATGATTACTGGGTGGTGATCGCTCATGCGCCTGGTATGATGTCACCGTATATTGGAAAGGTTAATCTAGTAATATTCATTTAGAAGTTTTCATATTTCAATTTAGTCACATTTCTAGAACTTAAAAAAGACATCATTTTATTAGAACCCCATTTACTAATATTTGTAACAAAACTCCTAAGAAAATTCTCTAAAATTATTTAAAAAATGTTTTTTTATTTGTTTAATAACTTCCACGGTGGAGTGCAAACGAGTCAAACTGTCAAGTCAAAACTTGACTCGAGTTCGGTCAAACTCAAACTCGAGACGGCTCATTAAATAAAACAAGCCGAAGTCGAGCTCTATTTTTTGATCTCGTGAGCTCGCGAGCCATAAGTCCATAACATACTTATATACATAACTAAATAATTAAATATATATGATTATATAGATACACATTATATTTATTTACTTGTTGATGTTTATTTATTTATTTATTTCAAACCTTCGCACCAATTTTCGGGTGAAAATACCATGTCAGGTAACTTTAATGATGAAAATAGTGAGTGATGAATAGTGACCTGAATATACTTGTTTTCACCTTGACCTTGGGCGAGAATAGTGACCAATTTTCCACTTGCTTTTATATAGAGTAAGATATCTGTACATCTTCTTCTTTAGGGTAAGAATGAACCATATGAATCCTATTACCAGTTTGAAAGAATATGATACTTCACTTCAAAACCAACAAAACATCGTGTGAAACTATTTCGCCGCTTAATTATGGTTGGTGCATTTTAGGAATGATAAAAATGTTGGTGTAACACTAACACCAAAGCAAAATGCTCTTGTACAATTAGTTTTTGTCATTGCACCCTTCACTATAATCTATATAGTGCATTTTAGGAATGATAAAATGTTGATGTAACACTAAAGCAAAATGCTCTTGTACAATTAGTTTTAGTCATTGCACCATTCACTAAAATCTACATACTTGCTCCTTACTTCCGTTAAAAAACAACAGTTAGTTTCCAATCATTCGTACATGTGGCCTTGACATTTTAATTGTTCTACATACTAGATTGAATTGATTTCCATTCAATTCATGGTCCGTTAAAAAGCAACATTTAGTTTCTATTCAATTACTTAATTGATTTCAATTATTAGAAAACTGACTTACAGTGACACTTTTTAGTGACACTCTTTTAAATAGTGTCGCTAATTGAGGACATATCTTATCACTAACATATATGTGTCATTGATTTATGACACTATAACATCAAAATAAATTACTGATTCTAAATAGAACTTTAACATTTATTTTTATTTTATCTCATTGCCAATTCAACTCCAAAACCTAAAATTTCCTCCATTATTTTAGTTTTCTATCTAATAATTTAGTTTTCCCACACAAAAACGTATAGTGTATTTTTCAGTCTACATGGGTTCTCCCTTCCTCTTGGGCCCTTGGCCATAAGAATAATACTAAAGGTACCCCAAAGTTGTACCCCATTTTTACCCCACCCCTATTGTGTGGTCATAAATGGGGCAACTCATTTAAGTGGGGCACCCCTCAAGTATCATCAAATTCACAAATCAATCTCATTCTTTCACTTTTATTTAAAAAAGACTCAAACTTTAACTATTCTCACAACTATGAGTGAATTAGCAAAACTTAATAAGAACAACATATTTATATTTCATATTTTTTCACTTCTTTCTAGTTTTATGTTTACAACCTTACATTGCTTATATCTTGGTGGTATTGATAAAAATGTGCAATTCTGAAAAAAGAAAAAAGAAAATCATAATTGATGCAAAATGAAGTTTGAGTTCTTTTATGATAAAAGTCAAAGAACAGAATAAATTTGTGAATTTGATAATAGTTTGGGATAAAATAAACTAATAATCCTTATGAGTGAAATTTTTACGTATTTTTTTCAGAGCGCAAAAAAATATAGTAAGAATATTATTTTTGAGGATTGCATGAGTCTGTTGACCGGTAATATTTAATGGGAATGTGCTATTGGTTTGAGAACTACGCAGTATTTTACAATTTACAGAAACTCATTATATTCCAAAAACTCATATTACATAAAGATTAAAAAAAATCCTCCTCAATATCTTCCTCATTCATTCTTGCTTTAACTCCAACAGAATCAAATATTCAACATTCATTACACTTTATTTTCTAATTATTACTTCTAGCCTTGAGCCTTATTCGATCAGTTCATAATCACAATGCATAAATAAATGTGTGTGTTTGTATCGATCAATCAACAACAAACCTCATTTTTTCTTAACCAGATAACAATGCCCAAATGATACACGCAAAGCTAGGCAAAAATAACAATAGTGTGATCGAGGAAAACGTATAACACAATGGTGCAAGCCATAGGTATTGAGAAACAATATGGTGATCAAACCGATTATTTATCAAAGAGAAAGTCAAAAGAAGCAGCTAATAGACATGCCAAGGCAGAAAGTGAACGCAGACAAAGAATCAATTCTCACCTCTCTGCCCTCCGCAAAATCTTTCCCCATCTCCCTAAAGTAAGTATATTCTTCTCTTCATTCTTTGAAGTAACTTTTAAGCATCTTAAGTATATTATGAGAAAATTACTAGAAGAATGACCAAAGAGACGGTGATTGCTAAAATATGACAAGATGAGCTATAAAAGAACAAGCGCCTAATGTGTGGTCATTTAATTCATTTAAGTAGAGCACCACTTAAATGAATTGACCCATTTATGGTCACACATTAGGAGTTGAGGTTAAAATGAGGTATATTTTGGAGTACATCTGGCAAAACTCAAATATATAGGAACTAATCACCTTATACCTCCTGAGACTTGTGCTACCGCAGAAAAATGTGTGGTCATATTCAAAACATAATGGCTTTGTTTGTTTTTCAATCTTTTGGTGGAAATGTCATTTCAATCCGCTACATTTTGCACCGTTTTCGGTTCAAATAAGTTCAGCGTTTTGACTGATGAAACATTAATACCCAAACATGCCCGTTAACAAAATGATGTCTACATATCATGTATGCTACTTATAGTTACTGATGAGGTCTTTGCATGTGCATGTGTGTGCATGTAGAAGGATAAACCAAGAGTGCTAACGGAGGCCGTTCAGCAGCTTAGGAAGCTTAGGGCCACGGTGGCGGCTGAGCTGGCGCAACAGCATGACGGCGGAGCGACCCCTTTATTCTTTCCGGGAGAGAATGATGAGGTGGCGGTCGTTCCGTGCATCGGAGGAGGAAGAGGAGGAGGGTCGGGGTTAGCTGTGAATGCAATGATCTGTTGCGAAGATAGACCGGGGTTGAACCGGGAATTGAGTGAGGCGGTTCACTCGGTCAACGGGAGGGTGGTCAAGGCGGAGATGGCGACGGTCGGAGGGAGGACGAAGGTGGACGTGGTGGTCCGCTGGTACAGCGATCAAGGCGGCGGCGACAGGGAGAAAGATCTCACGTCGCTTAGGCGTGCACTCAAGGTTGTGGTGGATAATCGGTCATTGGGCTTTTCCTTGTCACGGGCTGACTCGTGGGCCTCTTTAGAATTGGGTCCGTCTGCTAACAGATGTAATCATATATGTGCTCCAACCAGTATATATATTCCCGACAAACTCGATGTCATAAACTCATAGTGCTAGTGTAAATTCCTAGCTTACTTTAGAGTTAACAAGATTTATTAGCTAGACAAGACTGTCCTTTTTAGTTACCCTATGTATAAAACGTCTAAAACAGTAAGCCTTTGAAATTATTGCTCTTTTAAAAACTGGGTCATTGATTACTTTGACACCCAACAGGCCACAAATTCAAATAACACTTGGGACATGTTTACTTCACAGGTTACTAAACGATGCTTATTAAAACTCGTGTTAATGAGCGTCGCATAAAATAAGCAGTGTTGTAAACTCATAAATACTTCAAAAAATTTAAAACACCGTTTAATATTAAAATGTCCAAAACAACCTTATACATATACATACACAAAAACATTCATGACCACAAGTAGATAATATAATATAATATAATACGTGGGGGTCACCTCGTACGCGTACTCAACCCCTACCCATCCCTTATTCCCGTACCACAACCTCTACCCCTACCCTACACCCTAACCCTCGACTCCCCCTACCATGACCTTACTCTCTACCCCTACTCCCATACCCCTAACCCTACCCTACTCATACCCCGACCCCTGCCCCTACTCCTTTACCTCCTACCTCATAGTGTACCCTTACCCCTACCCCTTTACCTTGACCAGTAGGCTCGTACCCCTATCCCCACCCTAGGGTAAGGGGGGTAAGGGTAGGGTATGAGTTTTAGTAAGGGTAGGGTGAGGGGTAAGTAGGGGCGGGCAGTGTAAAGGGGGTATGGTTGGGGGTCGGGTGAGGGTCGAGGTAAGGGCAGGTGATAGGGGGTAAAGGGGTAGGGTTGGGGTAGGGCAAGGAGTACAAGTGGTGGGGTGGGGGTGGGTAAGGGGTTATGGTCGGGGTAAGGGGTGGGGGTCGGGATAAGGTAGGGTAGGGTGCTAGGGGGTAGAGGGTAACAATATGGTAAGGGAAAGAGGTAAAGGTGAGAGTAAATTCGGAAATTGAAAACGTTTAAAATGACACTTAATTAATACATGGGGGTAGAGGGTAACAATAGGGTAAGGGAAAGGATTGGTAAAATGACGAATGTATCTATCATAATTCGTATAATGTCATTAGAATCAGTTTGGCTCTGATACCACTGTTAGGAAATTGATGTAACGTACCTCGAAAGTACAACGAAAGTTTAAAAATTTCCCAAACAGTTCTTCCCTAATTATGACAAAACAATGAATATGATAATCATAACATATCTGAGTTAAAACTTACATATCTTCCAATCTAGCGGTGATAATCCTTGACCTTAGGTATCCACGTGATTTCTTCTTTCCGAAAGAACGGTTAGATCTCCCTAAGAGAAAGACTAGAAAATCTTTTTTGCAGGTAAAGAAACTGGTAATACTAAATCTAGAAAACTGATCTATTAATTATGAAGGAGGATGTATTTATACTAGTTCTAAACTAGTTTCTCAATCACAATGAAAGTCTTGCTCATTAATGAGTTCTAGTCCTATGAGGACCAATACTTCATTATTAATTAAATATAAGTAGATTGAATAAAATAAAATAAAAATAATAATAACAACAAGAATAGAGAAGTAGCGAGCAACCACTCTCTACTTATTGTATATATATTATTATTTATTTTATTCCCTTTTCTTTTAGATTCCAGATCATAAAGAAAAATATCAACTTTATTTAATTAAATATACATCTTAATTAAGTACAATAAATCCAATTTATTCCACTTAATTAATTCTATCAAATAGAACTCTCCTTCAACTTCATGAATTAAATATGTTTAATAATCTAATTAATATTTAATCCATTTTAAGTATTACTAATTAAATATTATTTAATCTATATAATAATATTAAATTCCTTATAATAGTTCAATCAGAAGGTATAATCACTTCTTGTGTGACCTGATGGATAGTATACCTGGGGGGTAGCTTATCCGAGGGGTTATTGCGGAGAATAACTAGAGAGAAGTCAGAGCAAATAAGTAAGAGAGAGAGAGTGTGATATGCACTAATTAGTAGTGCATAAATGTATATTTTTATGATTGATTTGTGTGTATTGTTTACCGTTTTATTTAGTTTGTAAACATTTGTGTGATTTTAGTTGTAATCGTATTTTAATTCTCATTTATAAGTTGTAAAGTATAGTTAGGATTTGTGGTGTTGGAAAGGAAGACTTTGAAGAGAAGAAAACAAGAAATTTGACTGCCCAGGAGTGAAACCCGACCGGGTAGAAACCTCCACCCGGTCGGGTATGATTTAACAGACGAAATTGCCAAGAAAGTCACTGGACCCGGTCAGGTCCCCTACTTGACCCGGTCGGGTCAGATGTGACCCGGGACAAAACGACGTGCGAAGATCACCAGAACGTGACGAATTATCTGATTTTGACCGGACCCGGTCGGGTAAGTACTTGACCCGGTCGGGTACCCGGCCAAAGGTGTTGAAAAACACCTATAAATAGCACACTTTTTCTTCTCTAAAAATCATCCCTTCTTCCATACTCTTTAGCTCAGTTTAGAATAGCATTTCTTTATATTTTTCTAGCTATGTTTAGTCTCCAAATGAGGAGCTAAACTTCCAATCTTGGTGTTGCTCTTGAAGCTTGTTGATTATTAAAGTTGTGAGTTATTTTCTTAACTTCTTTCCTTGAATATTAATTAATAGTTCTTTCCTTAATACCATCTCTATATTAATGTTGGGGAGTGTTGCTAAGATGACAATTAGTTAACATCTCGACATTAGTTAGAATGGTATTTTCTTCCTCTGTATTAATATTGGGGAGTGTTGCTAAGATGACAATTAGTTAACATCTTGATATTAATTATAGTAGAATTCATCTTCTTTAATAATATTCTTCCTTGAATATTAATTAATTCCTACTCTTATTTCATATTAATATTTTGAACATTACTTAAAGGATCAACTAGTTTTGTTTCATATATTAATTATTACTAGAAACGATCAACGAACCGATGGTTAATCGTTGATGGTTTCTCAAGTAAGTAACTTCGGTTTATTAATGCACGGTCGTGGTTAATAAACTTAAGAGGGATTAATTTTGTTGGTTAAACCGAAACCGCTTGTGTTGAGGTTATCAATCTCAATTGATTTCATCAAGGAGTTAGAAAGATTAAATGCTACTATTAAATCGGTATACGGTGTTGTTCTATATTTGATTAATAGTAAGAGTTATTAATGAACGGTCGTTGTTAATAACTACCCTCGATGAAGTGGATATACTCCCCGATTGAGTATTCGAGAGGGAATAAGTTATAGATATAACAATGATCGACTAAAATATATCAACAAGTGGAAAGTAGCAATGCCAAGTCCTTTTTATCTTTGAATTAAACACATATAGGTTGTTCATCTTAGTTCTTAATTAAATTAAATCACTCAATCCAAATCCCCCTTTTTATTTACTAAGTATCATAAAAAGAGAATTATTCCTTTCCCTGTGGATACGAACTCTACTACGCTATACTACGTATAAGTGTTAGTATTGAAAATTATTTTGACGCACCGTGACAAAGTGCTCGTCAAATTTGGCGCCGTTGCCGGGGAAAGGCAATTACTTTTCTTTTTATTTTTTCTCATAAAAATCAAAAACAAAAAAAAATATAAAAGAAAAAAAAATCTTACTTTTCTATTTTCTGAGCTTGCATGAGTAAATGGATACCAACACATCATCCCTAGAGAGTCAAATTTCTGACTTGACTTCTCTAATAAAGGAGTTTATCTCATGTTCAAAATCTCAAGATGTCCATACATGCAACATTTGCATGTCACAAAGGCATCTTACGGATTTTTGCCCAGAGCTTCAAGAAGAATTCTTTGAACAAAGGAATGATGTTGGTTTTCAAGAGAGGTATGGTTCATTCTCCAACACATACAGCCCATACTCATGTTCTTATTCCAGCATGTCCACTGAAGACATGATCCGAGCTCTCACTATCAATGTGACAAATATGCAACAAAATATGTCACAATGCTCGCAAGAAGCAGTATCCAACGAACAGAACTTGGACAATCAGTTGAAACAAATGTCAAGCATTGTGTACCACATGGGCGAGGAGGAGGAAGAAGAGGAGCTTACGGAAAAAGCTCAACCGGAGGAGGAACCTGAAAACTCAACTCAACCACCGGCCATTCCTAAGATCATGCCACCATTTCCTGAGGCTCTAAGGGAAACACAAAGGGTGGAGAAGGACAAAGATATCTATGCAATCTTCAGCAATTGTGAGTATAATTTAGACTTCTCTTTGGTCACAAATAAGCAAGGAATAACGGTGGGATTACACAAATATTTCATACTCCCTCTTATACCACCCGGATCAAAACCCCTTCCATTGACCATGCTTAATGAAAATCATGGACCAACACTCTCACAATATGAAGCGATAGAAATCTGGATATTTGATCCCGGAAAGGTCAAAATAAAGGGTCGAAAAACTGAGTCTTTCTATAAGAGTCACCCGGGTGAAAATTTGAAGAAGATGAGTTATCACGATCCAAGCTTGAACGATTGAACACAACCATGGTGTCGTGCCACGACGTTAACTAAGGCGCTTCTTGGGAGGCAACCCAAGCAAGGTACGTTTACTTGTTTTATTTTATTTTTACACTTTTCAAAAAAAATGACCTGGGATTGAACCTGGCCGGGTATAAAACCCCACCCGGTCGGGTTACCTCTAAAAACAAAACACCCGGCCAACCACCCGGGCGAGGCAAGAGTGGAACAATGATAAACCAAACACCCGACCGGGTAGACCCCTATACCCGGCCGGGCAACCCAACAAAAAACATTCTGCCTCGAGTGAACAGTTTACGCCCGACCGGGTACACAACCCCACCCGGCCGGGTATCTCGATTTTTTGGAAACCAGGCCATTTCTCAAAAAAAAAAATTAAATCACCCCCTTTGTCTTCCCTTTCGAACCACACCCCAAATTTCCTCCATTTCCAAAAGTCAAAAGCTTCATATCTCCTACATCCATCCACCAATTAAACCCATTTCATTCATCACCTCTTCACCCTTTTCATCTCCACACCCACGAATCACCAACAAAACCTCCCAAAAAGTAACCAAAAAAAATTCATCTGAGACACAAGCACTAGGGACAGTGCTTTGATTAGCTTGGAGGGAGAGTTTTATGGAATACTCACATTCATACTCTTTATTCTTGTAAAAAAAAATATAGTAAAAAAGCTTGTTAAGTTGAAAATATGAAAGGGCAACTTAAGCAAAAATAAAGCAAAAATGAGAGTGAGTTGTGAGGATTAAAACAGAAAAATGTGGGAAGCTGAGATGAAATCCCGAAAGGGCACCTAGGCAAAATGAGAGAACGAGAGAAAGTATTTTCTTTCGTTCTCTCATTTTGCCTAGGTGCCCTTTCGGGATTTCATCCCAACTTCCCACATTTTTCTGTTTTAATCCTCACAACTCACTCTCATTTTTTGCTTTATTTTTGCTTAAGTTGCCCTTTCAGGTTTTCAACTTAACAAGCTTTTTTACTATATTTTTTTTTACAAGAATAAAGAGTATGAATGTGAGTATTCCATAAAACTCTTAGTATATCAAAGAATATTAATTTGTCATCTTAGCAACACTCCTCAATATTAATATAGAGGAAGAAAATACCATTCTAACTAATGTCGAGATGTTAACTAATTGTCATCTTAGCAACACTCCCCAACATTAATATAGAGATGATATTAAGGAAAGAACTATTAATTAATATTCAAGGAAAGAAGTTAAGAAAATAACTCACAACTTTAATAATCAACAAGCTTCAAGAGCAACACCAAGAATGGAAGTTTAGCTCCTCATTTGGAGGCTAAACATAGCTAGAAAAACATAAAGAAATGCTATTCTAAACTGAGCTAAAGAGAATGGAAGAAGGGATGCTTTTTTGTGAAGAAAAAGTGTGCTATTTATAGGTGTTTTTCAACACCTTTGGACGGGTACCCGACCGGGTCAAGTACTCACCCGACCGGGTCCATGTCAAAATCAAATATCCTCCACGTTCTGGCGATCTTTAGCATGTTAAAGTGTCCGGGTCAAGTCAGACCCGATCGGGTGGGGTAGGGGAGCCGACCGGGTGAGTGCAAAAATTGGATATTCTTCACGTTCGGGTGATCTTTGCACAAGGGGTTGTCCCCGGTCACTTCTCACCCGACCGGGTGAGGTACTGGGCCCGACCGGGCCATGCACTTTCTTTGCATTTTCGTTTTTCACTTCTTACCCGACCGGGTCAAGTCTTATACCCGGTCGAGTATTTGCTCCTGGGCAGCCAAATCTTCTTTTTTTTACTTCAAAGTCTCCCTTTCCAAAACCACAAATCCTAACTAAACTTTACAACTGACAAATATAGACTAAGATACAATTACAACTGAAATCACATAAATGTTTAAAAACTAAATAAAACGTCAAACAATTAACATAAATCAAACATAAAAACATGTACTTATGCACTACTAATTAGTGTGCATCAGAGTGTATATTCGATATGTATTAAGCGTGGTTTACAACGGGGAAATGGGGTGCTATTTATAGTAGCAATAAATGCCAGACAGGGACACGTGTCAAGTATTCATTGGCCGAGGGATCACCTCAACTGGTTGGCGCTGGCAATCGCATGTGGCCGCATTTAATGCGGCTGTTGGACGTGACGTCGTACTTGGTACGGTGATTCATACACATGTGGAGCGGATATTATGTCGGGAAAGGTGCCCTCGGCTGCAGGTGATTAGCCGAGGGCTCTGAGTACCGGGGACCTCCTTAGTGCCGAGGGCTCTAGTTGCCGAGGGCTACTGATTTTCACCGTTTTCTCCCAGTAACTTTGTTTTCCAGATTTGGCCATCCTGTGAGAATTGGAGCCTTCGGCCAGGGGAGCGAAGACACCCCTAGTGCGCCACGTGGGTTGCTTGGTACTTGGAGCGTCGTGATTTGGGTCTGATGTGCTTCATGGGCCTATTGGGCCTCCATTAGAATAGTAGGAGTCTATGGGTCGGGGGTTCCTGGGCCATATACTCCATCAGGAGTCCCTCACTCCTTTTGCTGAAAGGTACTTGAGGGAAAAGGAGTAATTGTGTTTGTCCTCTGTCGTTGTTCCGTTGTAGTTTGTAGAGTTGTGGGTATTTTTGCTTGTTCATTTATTCTGCCGAGGGCAGTCCCTCAGTTACCCACATGTTGGGACTTGAGGGGTCATGTTTGCTGTTTACGGGAGTTTTTAGCATTTTGCGGTTTTTGTGATTTTTCCCGAGGGGGGTCTCCAGTCCCCCACTCCTTGAGGCACTTGCAAAGTGGTGAAAAGGAGTAGAGTAATCATGTTGCTGTTTTGGGCCGAAGGCTGACGCTTTTCGTTTCATTTTGGGGGGATGCCTCGTTAAAAACCTCATTAGGAAAAACCCTGTGGGAAAAAATCCTAATGAGGGAAAAAGAGTGCACCGAATTCCGCCAACGATGAATCGAAAATGTGAGGCCCTGGTTTGAAATGGAGTACAATGCTGATGCCGAAGGCTATCCTTGTTCTGAGGGCGCGTGTGTTGATTAGCCGGAGGCTTGCTGTTGATATCCTTGGAGTGCCAAAGGGGAGTCCCTCAATCTGGGGATCGAGGGCGTGATGAATGTGAGTAGTAGTTGAAGTATTACCGGGGGGTCCCCTGTTTGTTGATCAGTTGGTGAGGTGGATATTCGAGGGCTCCCGTTACCTGTGTGCCGTAGGCTATCCGTCAATGAGGGGTACTTCCCGGGGGCTGCCCGGTCCTCAAAGTGCTGAGGGGGGAATCCCCGAGGGGTGTGCCTGTTACGAAACCGTGGGCTTCTGAAGGAGTGAGCCCGAAGGCATTTGTTATGTAGTGTGAGGGGCATAAACTGGGAGCATCTCGGGGTAAGTGTACCCGGGGGCTCCTCTTGATGAAGTGTAGTGAAGTAAAAAGCCCGGGGGCTAGTTTCCTGGTTGATGAAGGAGTGGTCTGCTAAATATAGCCGGGAGCTCTCAGAACATAGCCGTTGTAAATATAGCCGTTGGAATACCTAACGTCAAAAATATAGCCATTGGGGGGGCTTCCACGTGGTGCGTGCTCGTTGGCCGCCCGTGGGCGGGTGTCACCGATTGGGCAACTCGTCGGTTGGCAATGATGATTTTGTACCGGAGGCCCGGTTTTCAGGCCCAAGCCCGGATTAATGCGCCTATAAATACCCCAAGGTCAGGCCACTTTTCCCTGTGCGATATCATTGTAGTGAAGCTCTGCCGGATTTTTTCTAGAGAGAGAAACACTTGCCCTCGATCTAATGCCCGTTCCAAGGCCAGTTCCCACCTGCTCTTCTCCTCTCTTAGTTAGCTGTGCCTAGCGGTCTTAGGAGTTGTACTTAGGAATCGTAGCTTAGGGCACTTAGCATTCCTGAACCCCTGAGCTAGCACAGACGATGTCTTCACAAAGCAACTCTCAAGATATCTCGGGGGCGCCCTCAATGGAGGTGGAAACCGTCTCGGACGTGGAGTCCACAAGTGAACAGCCCTCAGTGGGACGAGATGTCGTCATAGCAATGGAGCTGCAGAGAGCCCTCGTCGCCGAGGTGGAAGCCGAGGGCTTCGAACAAGAATGCGAGGATGAAGAGGTGGCCCTCGCCTGGTAGGTAGTTGAGGAAGAGGCACAGAGAGAGGGCGCGAGGGTCACCGTCGCTGTTCTCCCCCCTCGCGGCGCTGGTGAGGCCAGCACCTCTCAGCCGTTGAACGCGGTCCCCCTCCGGGTGGCCCCCGGGAAAAAGAAGACGAAGGGTGCTGCTTCCAAGAAGAAAGGCAGCGTCGCAGACCAAGGGAAGCCCATCGATATGCCCGAGGGGTATTCCTACCTGAATACCGCCGTCCTAGAGATAAGGTCGAAGGCTGATGAGGCGGATTTCTACGTCACCCAGTTACATGTGGGGCCCTCGGCCGTAGTGGTGGCACCGGGTCCTGATGATGTCCTCTCCCGGGCTCCCGAGGGCTGCATCGCCGTGCACATCCTGTCCGTATCGATGGGGCTCCGGTTCCCCCTACACCCATTCCTTCGGGAATACCTTCGGTACGTGGGTTTGGTCCCCTGCCAATTGACGCCGAACAACCACTCATACATCGCGGGCTTCCTCCATCTCTGCAAGTCCCGGGGGGTAACGCCTAGCCTAGACCTGTTCTTTCAAAGTTTCAATTTGTGCCGGGGGGGGGGGGGGGGGGGGGCATGCGAATGCCGAGGGCTTCGCGAACTTGCAGCAGGTGGCCTTGTTCAAGCTGTTTACTGAGGCGCCCTCCTCAAACAAAGGGTGGAAAGACCGATGGTGCTACGTAAAGTTAGCCGAGAGCCCCTTCCCGAGGGAGCTGTGTGATCGGTTCAGAAGGCACGAGAAAGTGAGGAGCGCCGCCCTCGAGAAGGACGGGAGGATCCTGGCCAAGATCCCGGAGGGCCGAAATAAAAATATAGCCATCAAGGAGTGCACTCAAGAGGAGGACCTCTACACCCTCGGGTTCCGACAGTATCGCTTCCTGGGGGAAACAGATGAAAAGTACCCGGTGTTCGATGGAGCCTCCGGGGGTTTAGGAGGTAGCAGCCGAGGGCACCTTTATTCTCGTACTTAGCACATAGTATGATTTTTTTTTGTACTTTCATGCCATTTGTCAATGACCCGTCGGCCTGACCTCATATTGTGTTGCAGGTATCCCGGTCTCCAAGATGAACGTCAGGGGGCTTGCTGATCTGAAGAAGAAGTCCTCCAAGGTCCCGAAGGGGACGGATGCGGGCATGCAGAAGCCCGCCGGTGACTTCTTCAAGAAGTCCGAGGGGCCGTCGATGGTCCCAAGCGCTGACGCTGACGCCGCCGCCGCGAAGAGAAAGGCCGCGGGCAAGGCTCCCGAGGGCAAGAGGCCAAAAAAGGGGGATACCGGGAAGAAGGATCCTCCCTTGGTCGTCATAGATGAGTGCCCCGCCTCCGGGACGCATGTAACACTTGAGATTTAATTTAAACGGATTAATAGTACTAGTCATACCAATAAGGTGCATCGCCTACGGGGCCGGGGTGTTACAAGTGGTATCAGAGCAACCCTGCGACAGTGTGTTGATCCGTTGGATATCGGGCGGGCACTTAGCAGGGGAAAAGATTCTGGGATATGATTGAGATTGGTTTATGGGCGCAACGAGGACGTTGCGTTCCTAAGTGGGGGTGATTGTAACACTTGAGATTTAATTTAAACGGATTAATAGTACTACTCATACCAATAAGGTGCATCTCCTTTTAAGGGAGCTCATTAGCTAAGTACTCCAAAGTTAAGCGTGTTTGCACATGAGTAGTCTTGGGATGGGTGACCCCTTGGGGAGTTTCTCAGGGCGCGCACGAGTGAGGACAAAGTGCGCGGAAAAGGCTAGTGGCGGTTTGTGAGGACAGTACTAGAGGTCAGAAGTAACTGCCCCGGGACCTACGGGGCATGGGTGTTACAACGCATGTGGAGATGCCGGTGGCTGAAGTGCCGAGGGGTGTCCGGGAGCCACCCTCCGAGGTTCTGCAGGTTTCTCTTCCGAGGGGACAGCCGTCATGAACTGCACGGTGGACCCGAGGGTGCTTCTGAGGGGCATGAGCCCCGAGATTGACAGAACCGCCCTCGGGGCTGATGATGACCTTGCCCTCGAGGACAAGATCCTCCAGTCTTCCCTCACTGTAAGTTTCTTCTTGGATTACCGTTTTACTTTGCGCTAGGATATATTGTACAGCTTTCCTAACTTCTTTGTAACTTACAGGCTTGCATTGCCCTCGGCGAACAGGCCCGGAGGCTGGAGGAGTGGCGCCTGCACAAGGCCGAGCAGGACGCGAAGATGCAGGAGCTCGTCTGCCAGAACTCTGATGCCATCAGGCAGATGGCTGCACTGGAGGAGAGCCTTTGGCAGATGACGCTGCGGGCGAAGGCCGCAGACCGGGGCAAATCCGATGCTGAGAGGTCCGCAGCTGAAGCCCTCGAGAGAGCCGCCAAGGAGGCCGAGGCCGCCAAGGCGGATGCCGTCGCAAAGGCCCGAGAGGACGCCGTCTCCGGATTTTTGGCGGGGGGGGGGGGGGGGGTGGAAAGCCGAGGAGCACAAACAGTGGTTTTCCTCGGTCGTGGAGTCCTCCGTCGATGAATGGTGCGACGGCCCCGACATGGAGTGGGTTTCCCGAAAGGGCAAACAGTACTACGATGGGGGCGAGTTTTTTACTCAGGCCCTCATCTACCGGAGGATGGCCCGTCATTTGAAGATCGATCAAAAAGACTTCGACCCGGCGGCATACGACCTTCCTCCCCTGCAGCCAGATGTCCGTGTTCCTCTCCCCTTAGATGTCGAAAGGCCAGACCTAGAAGATACTGAGCTGATGAAGGAGGCCGAGGGGGACGATGCAGAGGCCGACATAGAGGTCACCTCAAAGCCTGCGGAAGAGGCTGCCTCCGGGGCTGATAATAGTTGATTTGTATTTAGCACATTTTGAACAATTCTGTTGTAACGAATATTTGTATGCTCCCGGCCTCGGCCATTTTGTAATGCACACTTTAACTTCTCCATCTTTTTGATGAATGAATACCTGCCTTCAGGCTTTTTGTATATAATTCGTTTCCTTTGATTGTTTTCCTTTGAATGTATGCCTTCGTCCTTTCTGAATGTATGCCTTCGTCTTTTCTGAATGTATGCCCTCATCTTTTCTGAATGTATACCTTCGTCTTTCTTTGAATGCGTGTTAGGACTTAGAATATATTCCTCTAAGTATAGTGTCTCTTGTAGCCCTCGGCTACTAGGACCCTTTAGTTATCTGAACGTTTCGCCGAGGGCCCAATGTTCAGGACTTAGAAATTTTTCTAAGTGTTGTTCATCTGTTGGCCCCCGGCTAATTCCTTCCCTCTGGTTCTGTGTAGCCTTCATGAGATAACCAGAGGCAAGGTGCTTAGGACTTAGAAAATTCTTCTAAGTGTTTGGATACCGTTCAGCCTTCAGTACGAGGGTACCCTTCGCTGCACGGGTATATAACCGAGGGCTCAGAATACTCAGGACTTAGAAAATATTTCCAAGTGCAGTTTTATCAAGCCTTTGACTGTGTGGCCCCTCTGGCTGCATGGAGATTTGACCGAGGGTCAAAAACAATTGGGACTTCGAAAATTTTCTAAGTGTAGTTTGTATGAGGGAGGAGCCTTCGGGTGAATGTGAGGACATTGTCTCAGATGTGCCTTCGGTTGGCTGGTGGCTCCACAGGGGCAAAGTATTTAGGACTTAGATTATTTTCTCTAAGTATTTCCTGCTGCTGGCATTCGGTAGGGGACCCTTCGGCTGTATACTTTGTGGGCCTAGAACCGTTTATTTTGTCTTGCAAGGTTGGCCTGCGGTAACAAAAGCCTTCGGCTGTTTATTATGTTCCCCAATGTTGATATAGGAGAGTTTGTAATCCAAGTCTAGCATAAAAAGGCAGACTCCCTCGGGAATTGTCTGGGTGTATCCCCTCAGCATGTAGTGAGGTGCCGGAGGTGATTCTTGCTTTGATTTGGCCAACATTTGATAGTTTTGTCATAGAGTAGCCTTCGGGAACGTTTTGAGTTGTTGTTGGGTGAGCCTGTCATTTTTTGTAGGGTTTGAGCCTTCAGTTTTGATATAGCCGGAGGCAATCATGGAGTGGACTTGGCCATTTGTTGATGATGTCTGTTGTGAATGGTATCATTGGTACTTATGAGCTTCCAGGTATGACATTCATGTAATTTCCATGCTTACGTTTATGTTTTTATTAGTTTAGATTGATTATTACCTTGGAAATTACACACTTTTGGTGTAATAGTTTTAGTTGTAAAAATGTTTGTAATTTGTTTAGATTAGGTTTATACTGAGCTCAAACAGGTCCAAGATCACTCTAGGGACCATTGGTGAACATCACAAATGGAAGGAGGGTGCAAAAAATCTCAAGATTCTGATTTTTGGTGTTGTACCCGGTCGGGTATGACCTATACCCGATCGGGTACCTTGTTGAAAAATCAAATCGGATCGGATCCGGGACAAGACAACGTGCAGGGGAGATTTTGGCACGATCAACTGTTCATACCCGATCGGGTGGCCGACATACCCGATCGGGTATAACCTAGTTTTTTATATTTCCGCGAAGCAACCAAGTACCCGATCGAGTGCCCTTACAGCCCGATCGGGTACACGACCCTGCAAGCCTAAAAAGCCTATAAATACCCCCCTTTCCTTCCCACAAAAATCACTAATTCATATATACTTCTAAGCTCAGTCTAGAATAGTTCTTTCTTTATATTTTCTTCATGTTTAGTCCCCAAATGAGGAGCTAAACTCTTCCATCTTGGTTTTGCTACTTTGAAGCTTAATGAATTTGTAAGTTGTGAGTTATTTTCTTTAATCTTCTTCCTTGAATATTAATTATTTCCTATTCATATTCCATATTAATATTTTCAGCATTACTTAAAGGATCAACTAGTTTTGTTTCATATATTAATTATTACTAGAATCAATCGATTAATACACTTGTTATTAACTCGGTTCTTTCAACGGTAGTAAAACTTGGATTATTAATGCATGCGTCTCATGGTTAATAATCTAAGGGGAATTAATTATATTGATTAAACCAATAAACCGCTTGTGTTGAGGTTATCAATCTCAATCGTTTTCATCTTAAGTTTATTGCTACTATCGGGCTAATATACGACGCGTGTTCTATATTAACTCGGTAGTAAGTTTTATTAATGAACGCGTCTCGTTATTAATAACTACCCTCGATGAACTGGATATACTCCTCGATTGAGTATTCGAGAGGAAGATAGTTAAAGATATAACCGGGATCGACGAACATTTCATTAAGTGGATAAAAGCAAAACCAAATCCTCATCTCTATTAATCAAAATCATATAGGTTGTTCATCTTAGTATTAATTAAATTCAATCAAATCAAACATACCCCCCCCCCCCTGTTACTATTTATATAAGAGAAAAGTATTCCTTTCCCTGTGGATACGAACCTTACTACACTATACTACGTATTAGTGTTGTATTGATTAATTATTTTGAGTGCACCTCACGACAAGTGCACGTCAAATTTGGCGCCGTTGCCGGGGAAAGGCAATTATTTTTTCTTTTACTGTATTTCAAAAAAAAATTAAATAAAAATATAAAGAGTTCTTATTTCTTCTATTTCTGAGCTTGGTGAAGTATATGGTTAAACATCGTTCCATAAACGAAATCACATATCAAACAAACCCGGAAATAGAGCAAACTTTCGAGCGGTTGAAAAATAAATTTTCTAGTACCGACTCGGAGGAATTATCTACCGGAGATACATCCAGCGCTAGTTCTCATTCTAGCGAAACCGAAGAGCCAATAACTATGGCTCTCGAAACAAGAACTTTGAGGGAGCTCACAGCTCCAAACTTAAATCAACAACCCTTATGTATCACCTTCCCAACTCTTGATGAGAGTGCTACATTTGAGTTGAAATCTGGACTCATACATCTACTCCCATCTTTCCATGACTTAAGAGGGGAGGACCCAAATAAACACCTCTCGAAGTTCCATGTTGTTTGCACAAGCATGTGCCCCAATGGAGTCATCGAGGAACAAATAAAATTGAGGGCCTTTCCATTCTCCCTAAAAGATACCGCCAAAGACTGGCTATTCTACCTTCCTTCGGGAAGTATAGGTACATGGGCGGCCATGAAGAAAGCTTTCCTTGAAAGGTACTATCCTGCTTCTGTCTCCTCATCTCTCAAAAAGCAAATCAGCAATGTGGAGCAAAAAGATGATGAATCGTTCTATGAATATTGGGAACGATTCAAGAAACTTTGTGCGAGCTGTCCATACCATGGCTACTCGGAGCAAGACCTCATCCTATACTTTTATGATGGTCTTTGCAATGATGATAGGTGAATGATCAACGCCGCATGTGGAGGGGGGATCGTCAACAAGACTCCTTCTCAAGCTATAAATCTTATCTCGGAATTGGCCGAGAATTGTAGACATCACAACGGGCGATCATCAACAAAAAGAGTCATGGCGGCGGAATCATCATCATCATTGGAGAGTCAAGTTGCCGGCTTGACTTCTTTGGTTAAGGATTTTATTTTGAATTCCAAGACCCAAGAAGTCAAGGTCTGCGGCATTTGTACACAACAGGGGCACCCCACCGACTCATGCCCAACTCTCCAAGAAGACAACACCGAGCAGGTCAACGCTTTGGGATTTCCCAACCAAAAGAGGTACGATTCTTATGACAATACTTATAATCCCGAGTGGAGAGATCACCCCAATTTGAGATATGGGAATCCGCAAGGAAACCCACAACAAAATAACCCTCCACAAAATCAATTTCCTCAAAAACAACCATACTCTAAACCCCAAAGCCAAGGCTCAAATATGTCCACCGAGGACATGATCCGAGCACTCACCACTAATGTCTCAACCATGCAACAAAACATGGTTCAATTTCAACATGAGACAAAATCCAGCATACAAAACCTTGAGAACCAAATGAGCCAAATCTCAAGTGCGGTGAGTAGGCTCGAAGCTAAGGATTCGGGAAAGCTTCCATCTCAAACAAAGCCGAATCCTAGGCAACAAGCTCATGCGGTCATATTGAGGAGTGGCAAGGAGTTGGTTATTGCCAAAGAAAAAATCAAGAGCCACATTGGCGAAGAAGAGGAAGAAGAGGAGTTTGTAGAAAAAGCTCAACCGGAGGAGGATAAAACTCAAACCTCAAATCCAACGCCGGTCATCCCAGAAATTGAAGCACCTTTTCCCGAGGCTCTGAGGGAAACAAGAAGGGTGGAGAAGGATAAAGACATCTATGAGACATTCTCCAAATGTGAGGTAAATATTCCTCTCCTTAACTTGATAAAGGGTGTTCCTAGATTTGCAAATTTTTTTAAAGAGCTATGTACAATAAAAAGGAAACATAGACTCAATGGAAAACAAAAAGTCCAAGTTAGTGAACGTGTTTCAGCGGTCTTTCAAAAGAAACTCCCCAAAAAATACAATGACCCGGGCATGTTCATTATACCTTGTAAGTTGGGAGGTACTACGTTTTCAAAGGCCATGCTAGATTTAGGAGCGTCAATTAATGTCATTCCTTACTCCTTATTCAAATCACTTGAGCTTGGCCCTCTAAATGAAACTGGAGTAGTCATTCAACTTGCGGATAGATCAAATGCTTATCCTAAAGGTACTGTCGAAGACATACTAGTTATGGTTGATAATTTGATCTTTCCCGCTGACTTTTATGTTTTGGAAATGGAGAATGATAAAAATGCGGTTCCTATCCTTTTAGGAAGGCCATTTTTAAAAACCGCTAGAGCAAAAATTGATGTTTTTAGCGGATCTTTAACAATGGAATTTGATGGAGATAAGGTTGAATTCAACATTTATGACTCCATGAAATACCCAAATGAAGATCATTCTTTATTCGCCGTTGATATTATTGATCCTCTTGTACAAAACACTTTTGAAATAAATGGAGAGGATGAATTGTTGAGCGTGATTGAGAATGATTTCGGGGACAATTCTCTAGAACTTGCCTTGACTCCCAACATACAAGCCATGATGGTGGAGTTGGATAACCATTTCCAACTTCCACTTATGCCACTGGGGTCAAGAGCATTTCCACTAACCATCCCTGAAGAAAAGCCTTTGCCTTCTATTTTGCAGGCCCCCGAAGTTGAGATGAAGCCACTCCCAAAACATTTGAAATATGTGTTTTTGGGAGAAAAAGAGACCTTGCCGGTTATAATCTCCAACAAATTGACCCAAGAGCAAGAAGGAAAGCTGGTTGCGGTGCTCAAAAAGCATAAACTTGCAATTGGATGGACTATAGCCGACATCAAGGGCATTAGTCCATCCACTTGCATGCACCGTATCTTGATGGAGGACGAAGCAAAGCCGGTGAGGCAGCCCCAAAGAAGATTGAACCCACCTATGATGGAGGTGGTAAAAAAGGAGGTCATCAAGCTACTACAAATGGGGATCATCTTCCCCATTTCCGATTCAAAATGGGTTAGCCCAACCCAAGTTGTTCCTAAGAAGACCGGAGTCACGGTGGTGGAGAACAAGCATGGAGAACTTATGCCCACCCGAATTCAAAATGGGTGGAGGGTGTGCATAGATTACCATAGACTCAATGCGGTAACTAGAAAGGATTTCTTTCCTTTACCCTTCATTGATCAAATGCTTGAGAGACTTGCCAGGCATGAGTTCTATTGTTTCCTTGATGGCTACTCCGGGTACTTTCAAGTACCCATAGCCCCCGAAGATCAGGAGAAGACCACTTTCATTTGTCCATTTGGCACCTTTGCATATCGACGCATGCCATTCGGACTATGCAATGCCTCGGCCACATTCCAAAGATGCATGATGAGCATATTCTCTGAATATGTTGAGCTATTTATGGAAGTTTTTATGGATGATTTTACAATCCATGGAGACTCATTTGATTCATGCCTATACCATCTATCTCTTGTATTAAAAAGATGCTTAGAATCAAACCTTGTTTTGAACTCGGAAAAATGCCACTTCATGGTGGAAGAAGGAATTGTTCTAGGCCATGTCATCTCATCAAAGGGTATAGAGGTAGACAAGGCCAAAGTTGAAGTCATCCAATCACTCCCTTATCCTACCACCGTTAGGGAGATACGATCATTCCTTGGACATGCAGGTTTCTATCGAAGATTTATTAAGGATTTCTCAAAGATCGCATCTCCTTTGTGCACACTTTTGCAAAAGGAGGTGGAATTCATCTTTTCCGAGGAATGCAAAAAGGCCTTCCAAACGTTGAAGGAAAAACTAGTAACCGCGCCTATCATTCAAGCACCCGATTGGTCTCTTCCTTTTGAGATCATGTGTGACGCCAGCGACTATGCGGTAGGGGCCATCTTGGGCCAAAAGGTTGGAAGGGCCTCTCATGTTATCTACTATGCATCCACCACCCTAAATGATGCCCAGCGCAACTACGCCACCACCGAAAAAGAAATGCTGGCTGTCGTCTATGCACTTGAAAAATTCATGTCATACTTACTTGGAACCAAGGTGATAATTTACACCGATCATGCAGCTCTTAGGTTCTTAATGACAAAAAAGGAAGCCAAACCAAGGTTGATACGGTGGATACTTCTTTTGAGCGAGTTCGATGTGGAGATCAAAGACAAGAAGGGCATGGAGAACTTAGTGGCCGACCACTTGAGCCGTTTAGTTCTTGATGAGGGGAACGATCACATCAAAGATTATATCCGAGGGGAATTTCCCGATGAGACCCTTTTCTCTCTAAAGGAAATTCACCCTTGGTATGCACATATTGTTAATTTCCTTGTTCTAAACAGGTTCCCACCAAGCTTCTCTAAAGCTCAAAAAGAGAAACTTCAACACGATGCAAAACAATACGTGTGGGATGAACCATACTTATGGAAACACTGCAAGGACCAAGTGATTCGAAGATGCATTCCTGAAACAGAGATAGCATCCATCCTCTCATTTTGTCACTCACATGCATGCGGTGGTCATTTTGGAGGAAAAAGAACATCAATGAAGGTGCTAGAATGCGGTTTTTGGTGGCCGAGCTTATTTCGAGATGCCCATGCCTTTTGTCGATCTTGTGACAATTGCCAACGCATGGGCAACATCTCTCGAAAACATGAAATGCCACAAGTTCCTATGCTCTACGTTGAAATCTTTGATGTGAGGGGAATAGATTTCATGGGACCTTTTCCTAATTCCCATGGAAATTTATATATTCTCTTGGCGGTGGACTACGTGTCAAAATGGGTGGAAGCAAAAACCACCAAGACCGATGATGCCAAAGTAGTGACGGACTTCCTCAAAACCCGTATTTTTTCAAGGTTTGGAATTCCACGAGTTTTAATAAGCGACAGGGGTACTCACTTCTACAACAAAACTGTGAGTGCCTTGTTGAAGAAGTATGGCGTCACTCATAAACTCTCCACCGCCTACCACCCACAAACAAACGGGCAAGCCGAAGTCTCAAACAGGGAGCTGAAGTCTATACTCCAAAAGACAGTGAATCCTAACCGAAAAGATTGGAGTCTTCGCATGGATGATGCCTTATGGGCATATAGAACCGCTTTCAAGACCCCTATTGGGATGTCACCCTATAGATTTGTATTCGGGAAAGCGTGTCATCTCCCAGTCGAACTCGAACATAAGTCTTATTGGGCGGTGAGAACATTCAATCTTGACATGGAGCAAGCGGGGAGACAAAGGAAGCTACAACTCCAAGAGCTAGAGGAGCTTCGACTGGAGTCCTATGAGAACGCGGCCATCTACAAAGAAAAGACGAAGGTATGGCATGACAAAATGATAACAAGAAAGGATTTCAAAATTGGAGACAAAGTCCTTCTTTTTAGATTACGCCTTCGTCTTTTCCCCGGTAAGTTAAGATCAAGGTGGGAAGGACCATTCGAGGTGGTCAAAGTCTACTCACATGGAGCGATTGAGATCAAAAGCCTTGACACCGATAAAATCTTCAAGGTTAACGGGCATCAACTCAAACCGTTCCTTGAAGGTTTCCAAAAAGAAAGCGCTGAATGCATGGATCTCTTCGATCCAATCTGATAAGGATGAACACTACCATGGCGTCGTGCCGCGACGTTAAATAAGGCGCTTCTTGGGAGGCAACCCAAGCCAAGGTACGCATTTTTTTTATCTTTTCTTTTCAATTTTTTGATTTGGAATGTCAACTTTGAGAAAATGGGGAGATTCTCAAAAGAAAATAAGGGAAAAATCATGTTTTTGAAAGGCTGGGAAAATCTCCGATCGGTCATCATCACTTATCCGGCCGGATCCATACCAAAAAAGAGGATAAAATTGGAAAAAATCACACCCCAGGGTAGTGTACCCGATCGGGCCCCATTACTGCACCCGATCGGGTATAGATGAAAAAAAAAGGAAACCGAAGGAAAAACCCAAGACCCGATCGAGTCAAGGCTGAAAACAAGGTCAGCACCCGATCGGGTAGATCCATGACCCGATCGGGTATAAACAAAAAGAATTGGGAATTTTCTTCGTCACGTTTTACCTGATCGGGTTGGGGCTGAAAACAAGAGGGTACCCGATCGGGTATGTCGGGTCACCCGATCAGGCATAAATGAAAAAATTGTGAATTTTTCTTCGTCAGGTTTTACCCGATCGAGTACCCCTAAAACTCGATCGGGTACGAACCCCTGGAGCAAAAAAAAATTTAACGAAGTACCCAATCGGGTACTCCCATATACCCGGTCGGGTAAAATAATGTTTTTGGTTGGAATTTATACGGCGCAGAATGCCCGATCGAGTATAACCCAAACTCGATCGGGTCTGATCCTAAAACATGAGAAAACAGGAGGGTACCCGATCGGGTATGTCGGGCCACCCGATCGGGTACACCAACTTTTAACCCAAATCAGATCCAAAAATCGGCCACTTCATCTTCTCCAACCCCAAACATTCGAACCTCTCTTCCCAAATCCACCATTTTCGAACCTTCTCCCTTCCATGTCTCCATCAATACTCAACAAAAACCCATCAAACCACCACCAAAACACTCCCCTCACTCTCCTCTACAACCCACTACCCATAAAATCCACCCTCTCCCCATATTTCCGAAACGCCCAAACCCTACCCCAAACCCCAAGTCCGAATCAAGCTCCACATTTGGTCATCAATGGCTCCAAAAAGAAACCAACCGGAGAGCTCCAACACACGGGGACCAATTCATGGCTTTGAGGATGTCCGCTTTGGGCCGGGAAATCATCGGGCACGATTTTTGGCCATCATTAAAAGGCAAGTAGTTCCTTCTCGATTTCTTTGTCATGATGCCTTTGAGAAACTAGGCTTAGAGGATGGCATGAGGGAATTATTTCATGTATTGCAAATGAATTTGATTTTCAATATGCGATACAATTGTGTTGACAAAATCATATATGAGGTCATGAGCTCCATGAAATTTGTTCTACAAGAGGACCCGACGGATTTCAATTCCGATGAACTCACGTTTCGTGTGCGCAACACCGAATACTCAATAACGAGACGTGAGTTTGCCGCACACTTTGGAATTCCCGTGGCCCATGAGAGGGGGGATACCGGAAATCACGCTTGATGCTCATACTCTATGGTCAAAAATGACCGAAGAAGTGAAAGTTAACGCGTCTAAACTCTCAATTAGTCACGTTCAACATCCCCTTCTCCGGATTTTCTTAAAGTTCTTGTGTAATTCTTTGCTCGGCCGCCCCAACAATCACCATACTCGGATGGGGGACGTGGCCGTACTCACTCTAGCCCTTTTTCAGAGACCTACGGCATATAACCTTTGTAATCTCATGTGGGATCATTTAGAGGAAGCTTGTAAGAAAACATGGAACATTGTGGTTGGGGGGTAATCATGCACTTGGTGTCCAAATTTGGCTATACGGACAATGCTCCAATTCACGCCGATACATTGATGCACATTGGTTGGTTATCCAATGCGGGATTAATCTCTTTGGGAAACAAGGACCACAATGGCACCCAACATTACAAATGGCACATGAAGTACCCCGAACCCATCAAATACTTTCCCCTCCCTTGCGACGAACTACCTAAACATAGGTATAAACTAGCAAGCTTCGAAATCACCCACTATTTGCTTCCTAATGCCATTCCACCACACCTTCAAGCCCAACCGAACCAACCCGACCAAGCCGGACACCAAGAGGAACATGAACATGAACATGCCCAACACCACATCCCCGACTCCCCTCAAAACCCACCCCCGCAAGACTTTTTCCAACAACTCTTGGAGGGCCAACAAGCACTACTTGCCAGGTTCAACACCATGAACCTCAACTACACGAACATGGGTGAACAACTTGAACGAGTCCGAGAGGAGCAACGGGCGGGTTTCCAAAGAATTGAGGAGCTACGACAAGCCGACCTCCACCGCTATGAAGAGGATTATCGTAGGGCTTATGGTCCTATGTACTCATACATAGCTCATCACGGAGATTTCGCATCTATGACTTCACTGTCACCGGCACCTTCTTGGTATAATCCCTCCGATTGGGGAAATTTTGGTGGCTCTAGTTCCGGCGGTGGAGGATACAACGGTGGGGATACTACTATGGGAGACGGTGATGATGTCCATGGGAGCGGCTTTGGAGGCGGCTATTATGGCAGAGAAGGCGGGCACTAGGGATAGTGCCATGTTTCAAGTGTGGGGGAGGGAAATTCATCTCTTGGTATGTTTACTCCCTTTGTTTTTTGCTTTTTTCACCTTACACTAAGCATTATTTTCTTGTAATAGATGTACACAAAAAAAAAAACCAAAACAAAACAAAAAAAAAGAAATGAAATGCTAGTTAGGTTGAAAACCCAAAAAAAAAACAAAAAAAAGACAAAAGGGCAATCTAAGCAAGAAGGGCTTACAAAAATAATGAGTGAGTGGTGAGAAAAGGAAAAGAAAAGAGATGCTAGGATGAAAACCTGAAAAGGCTCCTAGGCAAAACGAGAGATATGAGAGAAATTTGTTTTTGCAGGACATCATCTATTGAAGATAAGAAGAAGAAGAAAAGGAGAAGAGGCAAAGAAGAAGTAAGGAGCATAGAAGACCCTTAAACCCAAGGAAATGTTGTTCTGTGAACTCATTTACAATACTTGGTGGTCTTAGTTTCTTATTTTTTTACTATCATTGAACTTATGATCTTTTGATGAACATTGTATAAACATTTGGTTTTACTCAAGGTCGAGTAAAGAAACTAAGTGTGGGGGAGTTGACATTCATGTAATTTCCATGCTTACGTTTATGTTTTTATTAGTTTAGATTGATTATTACCTTGGAAATTACACACTTTTGGTGTAATAGTTTTAGTTGTAAAAATGTTTGTAATTTGTTTAGATTAGGTTTATACTGAGCTCAAACAGGTCCAAGATCACTCTAGGGACCATTGGTGAACATCACAAATGGAAGGAGGGTGCAAAAAATCTCAAGATTCTGATTTTTGGTGTTGTACCCGGTCGGGTATGACCTATACCCGATCGGGTACCTTGTTGAAAAATCAAATCGGATCGGATCCGGGACAAGGCAACGTGCAGGGGAGATTTTGGCAGGATCAATTGTTCATACCCGATCGGGTGGCCGACATACCCGATCGGGTATAACCTAGTTTTTTATATTTCCGCGAAGCCTAAAAAGCCTATAAATATCCCCCTTTCCTTCCCACAAAAATCACCAATTCATATATACTTCTAAGCTCAGTCTAGAATAGTTCTTTCTTTATATTTTCTTCATGTTTAGTCCCCAAATGAGGAGCTAAACTCTTCCATCTTGGTTTTGCTACTTTGAAGCTTAATGAATTTGTAAGTTGTGAGTTATTTTCTTTAATCTTCTTCCTTGAATATTAATTATTTCCTATTCATATTCCATATTAATATTTTGAGCATTACTTAAAGGATCAACTAGTTTTGTTTCATATATTAATTATTACTAGAATCAATCGATTAATACGCTTGTTATTAACTCGGTTCTTTCAACGGTAGTAAAACTTGGATTATTAATGCATGCGTCTCATGGTTAATAATCTAAGGGGAATTAATTATATTGATTAAACCAATAAACCGCTTGTGTTGAGGTTATCAATCTCAATCGTTTTCATCTTAAGTTTATTGCTACTATCGGGCTAATATACGACGCATGTTCTATATTAACTCGGTAGTAAGTTTTATTAATGAACGCGTCTCGTTATTAATAACTACCCTCGATGAACCGGATATACTCCTCGATTGAGTATTCGAGAGGAAGATAGTTAAAGATATAACCGGGATCGACGAACATTTCATTAAGTGGATAAAAGCAAAACCAAGTCCTCATCTCTATTAATCAAACTCATATAGGTTGTTCATCTTAGTATTAATTAAATTCAATCAAATCAAACTTAACCCCCCCCCCCTTGTTACTATTAATATAAGAGAAAAGTATTCCTTTCCCTGTGGATACGAACCTTACTACACTATACTACGTATTAGTGTTGTATTGATTAATTATTTTGAGTGCACCTCACGACAAGTGCACGTCAAGGTACCGAAGGCGTTCCCATGGGGAGCCCTCGGTATGTCCTCGTGAATTTGTTGGAGTGGTGTACTCATTGATTTCTCGCTGAGTCTACTCCCCTTCACCACCCTATTTTTTTTTGTAGTGAAGGGAAGACTTCAAGAAACTTGGTTTCTTGGTAAGGCTTGGCCTATCGGGAGGTAACAGAATACACCATTAGCTCCCCCCTCGGGTTAACCTTCCGAGTTCCGAGAGGATCGAGGGTCGTTTCCTGGGTACAAGATATGGTGGTCTGTAGCCTACCTCCCCTTGAGGGATGGCACGGAAAGCGCCTCAGTTTTGAAAGTCGTCCCCTCGGCGCCAGACATAGTCTGTGGCCTGCCACACCCTTGGGGTAGTGGTGCGGGGAGCGTTTCGATTTGGAAGTCGAATCCTGGGCATTTTAGATGCCTGCCAATCCCTTGGGGAAATGGCGCGGAAAGCGTTCCGTTTTTTAAAGTCGAATCCTGGGCATATTACGTGCATGTCATACCCTTGGGGTAGTGACGCGGAAATCGTTTCAGGGAAGGGTTTTCATTTGCACACTGGTTTCAAATGGTCGGGGGCACTACGTGCTGCCGGCACCGAGAGGTGGCGCCTTCGGTATAAGCGTCCTCGAGGGGTACGGCTTTAGAAACAACACTTGGTGTTTGTTCCGATGTACGGCCCCTGACACTTGGTACCGAGGGGTCTTCTGTGGAAACACTTGGTGTTTTTCCTTTATTTGTCGCAGGTGATTGTGTTGTCTACCCTCGGTACTTGGTACCGAGGGGTCTTCTGTGGAAACACTTGGTGTTTTCTTCTG